CTTTAAGTTTTTACAGATTTGACAAAAACCTCTAAGGATATCGAAGTATTTCACAGTTTTCTCAGTCGAAAATTAACTTTTTCGTAAAAATAAGGTCATATTCGGAATCAGCGTGAAAAACTGCATCAAATGGTGTATAACTCATCTAGTCGCGGTTGCTTGATTTTGAATTCTAGAAATTTCGCAGTTTTTGAGATTTACACAAACAATTTCGTGCTGAAAATTTGACTTTCAAGATAAAGTAACCTGAACGACTCGAAACATGTTTCTTATAGGTTTTCGACAATGCTCTTTCCAGTGGGATCATTTTTAAATATTGAGAAAGTTTTCTGAAGGATTTTCCAGAGACTGGATCTCTGGAAAACTCCTTAGAAAAGCTTTTCAAAGCCCAGCTCTCATGGCATTAGAAAGAGGATCATGAAAAACCTATAAAAAAATGGTTCATGAAATTTTAGTTCACTCATAAAGCTAAAGTCCGCCTGCTCTAGCAAAAAATGCCCACTGTGCAATGGAAGCTAATTTTCTTATTGTATCAAGATTAATTCGTTTGACTTTTGTTTAACCATGGACATGAAGAAATTCCATAAGAATATTCAATGCTTCGTCTAGTGGTAACTTGGTAAATAAATTTTCAATATCAAATGTACATAAAAGAGTGGTTGATTTGAAAAGACCTTTTTTAATATGTTTTGTAAGCTCAGTTATTAAATGCGCACCATCAATAATTCTTGTTGTTGTTGTTGTACAATGCTTATCAAAGATGCGTCGTAATATTTCATCTAAAAATTTTGAAATATTTCTTGTTACAGCACGTATTGTGTTTTTAATGGATCGAATTGGTATATTATCCTAAAAATAAGAATAAACAACATTGATTTATTGGTCACATCATACGTGTATATATTATACCTTATGAGTTTTTTGGATTAAAATATAAATGAGCTAATTCACATTTTTTTCGATCAGACATCATTTTGTTTAAATTGCCATTGTAGAATACGTTTATTGGATTGTGGTTTATTAAGTAATTGAATAACTTTATCAAAAATTTCATTAAATGGATTATAAGATAATTCAATAAAAGCATGTGTATCTCGAAAAAAATTTTCTACTTTCTTTTCAAATTCACTAGCTAAACGAATATAAAAATTATGGCCTTTATCAGTAAGTCGAATGACAAGATTCATATTTTTAATTATTTTGTCGAATTGATTTGACAACGTGTGCTTGTTCTAAAGCTTGAAGTTGATCTTTGTATGATAATAGGATAGAATCAGAATGATTGAAATAATCTTGTAGCTGTTGTAAATATCGATCGAAAATTGGATTCATTGGTGGTATACGATAAGGTGGTTCAACAAAATGTTTTTTTAACATTATTAAAAATATCCTTATGTTCATCTTTGATTTCAGCAAGTTGTTGAGATTCAGTACGGATAGCACTTTGATTTGATCTTATGCAAGATGGACCTACAACAAATAAAGTTTGTTTTCCAATAAAAACCAAACTTATTATCTTAAAGAAAAATACATGCTTACCAAGTGAAAGATGATTCCATTGACGTGTATCAAACGGATTGCGTATCACATCGAGATAGGACTCAAGAGACACACCAATAGTATGTTTTGTTGCTGTCGATGATGATGAACGTTCACGATTTTGAATTGTTATTTGTTGGAACGATGACATTTCATTATAAATATCTTTTTGTAATCTTGATGCTAGATAATTCATAAGTTCTTTGATATGATTGACGAAAAGTGACGATGAATTATTAGTAGTAGAATTATTCAATAATTGTGTTTGCAATTTAATGAATTCACATTGATATTGTTGTTCACATTCTATTATTTGAAATTCATAAGTATTGAAAAAATAATTTAACCATTTCCGTTTTGTTTCTTGTATAGTTTTAAAACGTTTATTTTTCAACAATAATTTTTTGATTATCATGTATTGGTACATAAGTAATAGGTGCAATGCAATTTTCCATAGAATCCAAATTTTGTGGTAAAAATTTACAAAGAATTCGTGATTCTAACGTCATTTGTTCTTTCTAAATCCGCTTTCTTCGAGCGCGTGTCTATCTCCGAGCAAACATCTCTGAGAGTCTCAAAATACTATGGAGTATAGGTAATCGACTACGCTGAGCATAGTGACAATACTTGTTTTGGAGTAGAAATGAAAATAACTTCGCTAGAAGCATTTTTGTGGAAAACGGTTTTCGCCTGTTACCAGCCAAAATTAAAATGCTTATATCTCGGACAAATCTCATGCTCGTAAGGAAATTTCCAGGAAACGCTCAGAACAGCTTATAAATCATAATTGAAGACGAAAACAGTGAATTTGAGCTGGGCATTGGTTTAAAGTTTTCCAGAAACTTCCTGAAAAACCTGAAAGCCTCAGTGTTCTGCTGGACCACTTTTTCGACTTGATCAACAATATATGATGCCTTTTAAAAAAATTTTCTTAGACGTTAACAAATAGATCTCAATATATCAAACAGGATCGGGCGTTTCTTCTTCATAGATGATGTATTAATTTTCTTTAGAGCTTTATACATTAATTGTAAACGTGGACAAAAAGTCCCAAGTTGATCTTTGCATGGGTCGGTTAGATTAGCTTTGATAAATAAATGTCTAACACCGCATACGTAATTGCTACTTGTTGGAAAACGAAGTTTTTTATGATGATAGCAGTAAACAATAAAATGGAGAAGTGTTTGATGAGGATTTCCTTTGGGGTTCTGGTGTACGTAAAATTTTTTGAATAAATCGAAACCACTGCGATAAACTTTCGAGGTTGATTTAGCAATCGAATGGTCGAGTAGTTGAACTGTATCGTCTAAAGATAAATAACTTGAGAAGCATGAGGAACTGGAACTGGAAATTCGTCGGCTGTTGGCAATAAGGCTTTGAATTTCTGAATTTTCAAACAAGAGAAAGGATCAGCTAGAACATTATGTTTGCCTGGTACATAACGAGCTCTAACATAAAAGTTACATTTAGCTGCTTGTAAAGTTAAATGTCTCATTACTTTCATTATGGCCGGACAACGCGAACGTCCCTTATTGATAATTTGGACGGTAGCAGTATTATCAGAGTGAAACAAAGTGCGTTTAGATGACCATTCTTTTCCCCACAAAAGAGAGGCAACAACTGCAGAGTATAATTCCAAATAAGCGATACTAGGCTTAGGATTAACAAAATATTCTTGAAGTGGAGCATTACTGCAGCTATCGTAACGCCATTTATTTCCATAAACAATACCAAAACCTAATGAAGTCACGGCATCAGTGTAGAGATCTAGATCAGAAACCAACGTTAAAGACGGTTGCATAAAAAATGACACACCATTCCATAACTGTGGAAATTTGAACCACATCATCAGATCATTTTTACATTCTTGACCAACTGTCACATTATGAAATAGTTGTTTAACTGAAGTAGAAAGTGTTATAAGAAATGACAGAAACCAACGACCGGGTAATATAGCGCGCATGGCAAATTGAAGATGTCCAAGAAGGCTAAAAAGTTGTCTTTTATTAATTATGCGTTTATGTAAAACGGATTCAATAGATTCAATAATACGAAGTTTTTTCTCGTCTGGTACTATAATTTGAAAACGAATCGTGTCCAAAATTAATCCCAAATATTCTAATACGAAACAAGAGCCAAGTGTTTTATGTGGAGCTATAATGAAAATCAAATAGCAAAGGAAATGTTTAAAGAATATCATAAATTAATAAAACTGTATTTAACGATTCCAGTCACACGGCAACAGCCGAACGTACTTTCAGTGTATTAAACAGATTAAAAAGTGCAATTCGTTCTTCGATGAGTCGATCACGTCTTAATCACTGCTTAATACCTCATTTATATAAAGAAAAACTTGATAAAATTGATGCAAGTGGAATAGTGTCGAAATTTATATCATCAAATGAACATGATTAGGATATTTTGGTTTAATGTTACAATGCGAAATAAATGGTCTTTCTTTTAATTTTTGTCTTAAAAATTTAGAAATTCGTTGTTAAAGGACGAAACGAATTAGAGCTTTCATTTTCTGATACCCAAAAAGTTGAGCAGTCTAAAACGACTTAACCCCCCCCGAATAAAGAGGCATGCCCTTATCCAGTGTTTCGACAGATCACTACTTTTTTGGGGGCCTTCTATTGGGGGTCAGTTTCTGGACAATTATTAATTTAAATAATTAATTTTTTATTAATTAATTAATTAATAATCTTAATTATTGCTTTTAGGTGTTTTTCACTAAAAACACTATCATTTTTGTAAAAAACGTACTGTTTATGGTAGAACAAGAGAACTTTCGCAAAAAAACACTAGAAAATTGGTTATATTTCCTTAATTATCATTCGGAAATCGCTGATATTATGTCATGCGTGTAAAAAGTTATTTTGAACCATATATAAATTTTAACTGAGTCTCACCCAGTTTTAGAACGTTCCGCCGCCCCTGATATTAATCAAAAATAAACAAAACAACTGATCAATCGTCAGGTGAGAAGATAACTATATTTATACACAATAAAACGATTGATAGGAGTGATCCGCTTGACTCATTGTTAGTCGAGCTAAATCTCTCTTTCAGAATGTATCGAAGAGAATCTGTGAATAATGTTTGAAATTCTCATTTCTAATTAGATAAGATTCAATGACAATAGTCTAATTCATTTTTCTCCATTTTTAAAATAAGATTTCGACGCTATGTTTTAGTTCAAAAGTAAAAACTCAATTTACGAACACTTTTTCGATGTTGTACGGATAGTTAACTAAACAAATATCTGTACTCACTGAGACGCTTGACAGTGACATCCTTTAAACCCCATATAGTGATGTTGATTTCGCCAAGAGTTATTGGATGAAATGTTGTGACAACCAAGATGTATGTAGTATTAACATAAAGAGGAATTTCAAATTTAAATTGACCATTAAATTCGCCATCATTATCTTTTCTTGACGAATTTGCAGATGGATTGAGTGGATCGAAACTATTTTCGTAGATGTATCCGAAAGTATCAATATTACTACTGCTCCATATAGTATAGTAGCGACTTTCAGGCACCTTCACCTCGAAGGAGTCATAGTAAAACTTGTCTTGGCCACAATCTCGGGAATAGATCTGACTGTTCGTGGTTAGTGCTGATGAGTTTGTCCATTGAACAACTGATGACATATCTACGTAACAAAAAAATCAATCGAATTTCATTATATTTTTGTATATATTTATGGAATTTCTGACGTGATTCTCTTTCAAATGTATGCTCAGTAGGTATGTAATCCATCGGTTACATTTATTTTGCTTAGAAAAACTTTCAAGATAAGATAAAATAAATCAATAATATCTAACCTTTGTCAATCATTATTAAACAACCCTCTAATATATTTATCTAGTGGTAGGATTTAGTAGAATTGTCAGGATTCTATGACTTTTATTACAATCTATTCCAGTAGCTATTTTATATTGAATTTTAGGAGAAAATTACGATTCAACTCATCATTATTCGACGTGTTCTCAGACAAAGTTATGTTTTGAAAGAAAATATCATCAACTGAAATATTGGCGTCAGAAGAAAAGATTTTATTCGTATCAAATTTATTAGAATACTTTACCACTTCGTTTATCTTTTACAGACATTTTCTCCCAATTGTCACTTGCTTATTGTTATGACTTCTCACACTTAGTCTCTATCGACTACAAAAAACTAAAAAACTATGAATATTTTACAGATAGATGAGGACAAAGACTCTTTTGAGTGATTATTACATCAATTATCTTAAATGAATTATCTGACAAAGTTTTCCCCTATTGTTAGTCAGAATAAAACAATAATTATGGATGGCAATGCAATTATGGTTGAGAATGTAAACATTCTATCTTGAATTTATTCTTATTCATCGTCAATGGATTTGAAAAGATATTTTTTTCTTTATTCTGTCGAATTACTTTTACAATTTTTAGCAAAGAAAACTTCTTTAAACAACATGAAGGATCATTTATTGACGAATCAATCTAACAAGAAGTTTATCGTTGAAATTATTAACTATTCATCTTTAATTAAATGTTTCGTTTTGAAATATTTACATTCAATCTGAAGATTCCACTATGCATTGTTTTTTTAAAACTTTATTTTTATAAATTCATTTAATTCTTATTTCTTTAGCAAATATTTCTCCTCAAAATAGATCTCATTGAGCTTTCTGTTTCTGATTGAATTTTATTTTTAATAAATAGATATTCATTGACACAATTTACATCTCTTATTGTATACATTCTCCATTTTCAACTTACCACAAGAATTTTTCAGATATTGAAACTTTTGAATTCGATTATTTCCTGCGTCAGTAACAAACATATTTCCAAAATGACCAAAACTAAGACTAAATGGAGAAGACAATTGAGTGGATTGGAAAACACCTTCACGACATCCAACAACACATCGAAAACCACTTGGTCCTAATCGAAGAATTCGATGATTATTTGAATCGACAATAAATAAATATTTCTCAGCATCAAATGTTATCCCAGTCGGACAATTAAGAGAAATTGTGGAACTGAATGATTTATCTCCTGCGACAGTGATGCCATCTGATTTCCCTGAACGAAAGCATTGAACTCGATTATTTCCGCAGTCTGCTACATATAAATCGAACTTTTCATCGACGAAAATTCCATGAGGATGATTAAGCTGATCATCATCAGATCCTTTATCACCTGTTCCAGCGACGCCAGCCAATGTCGTAATACGATCGTACAAATATCTTTTCACAACATGATGATGATTAGACATCGAACAATATAAATTATCCATTGTGTCAATAAAGAGACCCTTGCATGATGAATAAGCAAACAAAACCGTAACCCAAGTACTGGTATTTGATATCCATTTCTCCACTCGACCATTCTTTTCACCATTATCAATATAAATATCACCATTCGATGTAACGAAAAGAGAAGATGGATTATAAAAATCACTAAGAATGATCATTGCTGGATCAATATTACCTTCATGCCAAATTAAAATTTGTGTTTTTTCTTTATTAATCGTGTAAACTGAATTTTTTTCATTGATAAAAATAGTGAGAGGTTTAGAACCAAGGGCCATTTGATTAGCAAAAGTGATTCCATTGCGATTCCAAACTGGTGTTGAACAAAATTTTGGTTGATTAAATAAATGAGCTAAAAAGGAGAGAAAGAACTGCGATAAATATTATGAATAAGTTAACATTTGATTTATTTTAGAAAAGAAACTTCTCACAAATCAAACGGAACTGAACAAAGATTTCTTTATTTGTTTCCATTTTATGAAATTAGTCGAAAGAGAAACGATTCAAGGATGGAACTATAATTATCTAAATGATCTCTGTTGTCTCAGAAATCATATATAAACAATGAAATTGACGAAAATCATCGTAAAACTTTGTTAGATTAAATGTTTGATGATTAAGTAAATATTATTTATTTTCATTTTAATGAAAATTCTTTTTTTTCTCATAATTAGTCTTTAATTAACACATAGAATAGAGAATATAAGACTAATACATAAGGACAAATGAATTTAAGAAAAATAAATGTGAGATTATTCATTTTTATCTTTTGAGTTTATTAAAAGAAATTCATTTATTCTAATCAAAAAATCGAAAATGAATAGATATTATAAAATATAATTTGTTTTCTATATCATTTTAAAGTTAATTAAATGATCATTTGTTGCCATAAAAAAGAATCTTCTTTCATTTTCACAACCGAAAAATGAAACTATTAGTATTTTACTGCTTTTTACTGATAATAAATATCGATGAATAAAATCAGAAATAAAAGTGTACGAAAACTCACAAAAAAGATTTTTAAGATTAGTTTCCATTCGTCATGGAGTGAAGAAGATCCTATCAATCATATCTTAAGGATGCGGGTGTGGATCGGTATATCATTTCACATTCCCACCCATATCCTTCATTTCTCATTTTCATGTTCATGTTTCACATTTCTTTATCAAACTTTGAATTTTGAAATCAATCCCATTGAAATTCTTTCTTTTTTATTTAGTTTTGTTTTTCTCTAAATAACTTCTTTGAAAATTATCGTGATTTATTATCCATTCATGTTGCTTATCTTATTCAGCTATTTTCAACTTACCACAAGAATTTTCTAACTGTTGAAACGTTTGAATTTGATGATTCGATCGATCAGTAACAAACATGTTTCCAGAACGATCGAAACTAAGAGTAAATGGGGTAGACAATTCATTGGATTACGAACCTCCTCCATAACATCCAACTAAACATCGAAAACCATTCACTCCTGATCCAACAATGCGATCATTGAAACTATCCACAATGAATAAATATTTCTCATCATCTAACACAATGTCAGTTGGACAACTAAGCGAAATTGTTGGATTTGGTGATAGCCTTCCTACTACTGTGATGCCATTTGAGTTTCCTAACCGAAACAATTGAACTCGATTATTATTACAATCTGTGACATATAAATCCAAGTTCACATCGACAAAGATTCCACGAGGATACGAGAGTTGATTTGAATTAGATCCTTCAATACCAGTTCCAGCAACAATGATCGGTGTCATTACAGAATCATTCAACCAACTTTTCACAACTTGATGATGATTACCCATCAGGCATGGGCGAGTCCGGGAGGGACCGAGTCCGAGCCGAGTCCGAGTCCTCAAAAATTTATTCCGAGTCCGAGTCCCTAACATTAAGGACCGAGTCCGAGTCCGAGTCCGTTTCGAGTCCGGTAAT